CTGAGGGGGGCTGGGGGGGTGGGGGGGACCCCTGGGATGGGGCACAGAGACCCCCGGGATGGGGGACACGGAGACCCCCGGGATGGGGTGGAAAAACTCAGGCTGCGGGGTGGGGATGGGATGGGGGCACCCTGGGCATGGGGACCCCGGGATTGGGATGGGGGGCCCAGGCTGCGGAACAGGTTTGGGGTCGGGGGGGGCACCCCCATTCCTGCTGCCCCCTCCATGGGGTGTCCCTGGGGGGCTGCTGTCCCCCCCCAGGACCGGGGTAGGATGGGGGGGACAGGAGGTGCCCCAAGGGCTCTTCCCCCGCGGGAGGTTTTGGTGCCTCCAGAGACGCTGGATGCAGCAGGGGCACCCCCAGAGGGGCTGTGGGGACCCCCAGAGCGAGGGGGGGGACACTGGGGGTCGGGGGGGTCCCGTCCCGGTGCTCCCGGTGCTCCCGGGTTTTGGCAATACACGGCTGTGCCCATCCCCCGCTCTCCGGTGTGGATTTAATGGGGTGGGGGCGCGCCGGGGGCTCTGCTCTGGGGGTCACTGGGGGGACATCGGTGACCCCTTGGGTGGTGCCACTGTTGGGGTGACAGTGCCCACCGCGGGGGCACCCCTGGGAGGGTGGGGGGGGGGGGTTGTCACTGATCACTGTGGGGTGCTGGTGGCCACAGGGGGGTCAGTGGTCACTGTGGGGGTGTCAGTGGCCCCAGTGGAGGGGTCACTGGTCACTGTGGTGGTGCCGCAGGGGGGTCAGTGGTCACTGCGGGGGTGCCACTGGCCCCAGTGGAGGGGTCACTGGTCACTGTGGCGTGCCGCTGGCCCCAGTTCAGGGGTCACTGGTCACTGTGGGGTGCCGCTGGCCCCAATTCAGGGGCCACTGGTTACTGGTCACTGTGGGGTGCCGCCGGCCCCAGTTCAGGGGTCACTGGTCACTGGTGGGGGTGCTGGTGTCCTCAGGGGGGTCAGTGGTCACTGGTCACTGTGAGGGCGTCAGTAGCCCCAATGGGGGGGTCACTGGTCACTGTGGGGTGCCGCTGGCCCCAGCGGGGCTCAGCCGGGCCGGGCGGTGGGAGGGGAAGGGGCGGCACCGGGACCCCCCCGCCCCGTCCCGGGGGGGCGGGCGCTGGCGCGGGGCCCGGCGGGGCCCGAATAGGGGCGGCGGGCGACAGGTGACGGTGCTGGGGACACGACGGGACCTTGGAGCGCGGCGGGGGCGGGCGCGGAGCCACCGACAGGTGCCCGGCAGCGGGGGCTGCGCCCCGTGACGTCACGGCACCGTGACGTCAGCGGTAACCACGGCGACGGGCGGGCGGAGTGGGCGGGGCTTGCGGAGTGGGTGTGGCCGAGCTTTGCCCGGCTCCGCCGCGAGGGGGCGCTGCAGGCACGCCGCGCGGTGCGGCCGTATGCAAAAATATGCAAATGAGGCGGGGAAAGCAGCGGCGCCTCCTGGCGGGCGGATTTTGGGGTACCGGGGACGGAATTGGGGGGAAGGGGGAAAGGGGAGGGAGGGGAGGAGTGAGGAGGGGTCCCCGTGTTTTCCCCCCCCACTTCGTGGGGGTGCTGAGGGGGTTGTGGGGGGTACAGGGAACCCCGTGGGGGATGGGAAGGAGGTGTGGGACCACCACACTGGAGTGTTCCCCCATTCCCAGCACCCCGAGAAGCGGAGGCTGCTCCGGGAATGGTGGAAATGGGGGGGGGCAACGGGACTGACCTCCCTCCCCTCCTCTCCTCCTGTCACACAGCTTTAAATGCCGAACCATTAAAATTTTCCACCTCATTTGCGGCTCCTCACACGGTTAATTTTCCCGGGATTGTCTATTTATTTATTTGCGGAGCCCTGCGGGAGGGTGGGGGGGAGCAGCTGATTTGCTGCATCTGGGCGGTGGGGAGGGGAAGGGGGGGGGAACCACCCTGGGAAGGAGGGAGGGCTCCGGCTAATTTAACAGCTGAAGAGAACAACTTAATTAGAGTCAGCTGGAAAATTGGGTAAAACCCCTCCTATCAGCATCTCACCCTCCCAGCCCCCTTCCCTGCCGGCTCCTGGTGGGATGCCAGGGCGGGGTGTTGGTTTCGGGATGCATTTTCGGATGATTTTGGGATGTGTTTTGAGAGGGAAGGAGAGCTGGCCCCGGCCAAGCAGCTGCCCTTTATTCCAGCCAGGAGCTAATTGGGTTGATCGGCAATTAAGAGGGAATTAAGAGGTGCATCCCCCTCCTCACGTCGCAGCTCCCGCTGCTTCCCGGGTGGTTTTGGGGCGGGGGGCAGCCAGAGGAGAGGGGCGCAGTGGGATTTTCCACCTTTAGGGTTTGTTTTCCCCCCGCTTTTCCCATTCCTGGTGCTCCCAGCCTCTCTGTCCCCACCTCGGCACCTCCCTGCTCCTCCCCAGACCAAGGGGCTGCTCCCCATCCCACCCCGGGGGGGTCCGGCTGGAGAAGCCCCCCCGATCTCCCCATTAATCACCTCCACTCCTCTCCACACCCCGCGAAAGCTCAGGAGCCTGCGGGGCTCAGGAACGAATTGAAATCCCACCGCTCTCGTGCCAGATCCATCCCAGGGGAGCAGCTCCGGGATGCCAGGGTGGGGGGCACCCCCTCCTGCCCCCCCCCCTTTTTTTTGGGCCGCACGGAGGACAGGGAGCAGCAGCTGCAGCGCTCCGAGCTTGTTCTCCATCTCCAGGCAGGGAAATAAATGGATTAAAGTAAACGAAAGCGTCTGCTCTCCCCACCTGCCCCCACCCCCGGCCGTAAATCAGCATAAATGCAATTTCCATATTCATGGTATTTATCCAATAACTGTCCTGGCCCAGATTAAACGCGCCCCGGGGAGCACCGGGGCTCCTTTATCTGTGCCGGGGGCTCCCGGGGAGGGGCGGCTGGGCAGGGGGTTCTGCTCTTCATCCCCTTCCTGAGGGGCTGGAGGGGGGTGGGATCCCCTCCTCATCCCCTTCCTGAAAGGCTGGGGCGGGATCCTCTCCTCATCCCTTTCCTGGAGGGCTGGAGAAGGAACTGGGGGTTCTGCTCCTCATCCTCTTCCTGAGGGGCTGGAGAAGTGTGGGATCCTCTCCTCATCCTCTTTCTGAAGGACTGGGGCTGGGGCAGGGGGGGTTCTGCTCCTCATCCTCTTCCTAAGGGACTGGAGAGGGGTGGAATCTTCTCTTCATCCTCTTTCTGAGGGACTGGAGAGGGAATTGGGGGTTCTGCTCCTCATCCTCTTCCTGAGGGGGTGGAGAAGGGTGGGATCCACTCCTCGTCCTCTTCCTGAAAGGCTGGGGTGGGATCCTCTCCTCATCCTCTTCCTGGCGGGTTGGAGAGGGACTGGGGCAGGTTCTGCTCCTCATCTTCATTCTGAGGGGCTGGAGAAGAGATGGATCCTCTCCTCATCCTCTTTCTGAGGGACTGGGGCTGGGGCAGGGGGGTTCTGCTCTTCATCCCCTTCCTGAGGGGCTGGAGAAGGGTGGGATCCTCTCCTTATCCTCCTCCTGAGGGGCTGGAGAAGGAATTGGGTGTTCTGCTCTTCATCCTCTTCCTGGGGGTCTGGAGAAGGGTGGGATCCTCTCCTCATCCCTTTCCTGGGGGTCTGGAGAGGGACTGGGGAGGTTCTGCTCCTCGTCCTCTTCCCGAGAGGTTGGAGAAGGGATGGATCCTCTCTTCATCCCCTTCCTGAAGGACTGAGACTGGGCCAGGGGGGTTTTGATCTTCATCCTCTTCCTAAGCGACTGGAGAGTGGTGGGATCTTCTCTTCATCCCCTTCCCGAGGGTCTGGAGTGGGAATTGGGGGTTCTGCTCCTCATCCTCATTCTGAGGGGCTGGAGAGGGGTGGGATCCTCTCCTCACCCTCTTTCTGCGGGACTGGGGCTGGGCGGGTTTGCTCCTCATCCTCCTGCACCTCTCGCGGCCCCTCGGGCTCCTGCCAGCGGCGCTGCGAGCGGGGCCGAGGCTCGGCAGCGCTCCTGCCCCACCGCCTCTCCCTCTCCTCTGTTTTTTCCCTTTTCCCCCTTATTTTCAGTTAATTTCCCCCTTTTCCTCTCCCCCTGTTTTTTCTCTTTCCCCCTTTCCCTTCAGTTCCTTTCCCCCTCTCCTTCCTCTTCCTCTCTCCCTGTTTTTCCCTTTTCCCCTTATTTTCAGTTAATTTCCCCCTCTCCCTCCTCTTCCCCTGCTTTTTTTCCTTTGGGTTTGCTCCTCATCCTCCTGCACCTCTCGCGGCCCCTCGGGCTCCTGCCAGCGGCGCTGCGAGCGGGGCCGAGGCTCGGCAGCGCTCCTGCCCCACCGCCTCTCCCTCTCCTCTGTTTTTTCCCTTTTCCCCCTTATTTTCAGTTAATTTTCCCCTCTCCCTCCTCTTCCTCTCCCCGTTTTTTTCCCCTTTTCTCCTTATTTTCTGTTCCTTCTCCCTCTCCTTCTTCCCCTGTTTTTTTTTCCTTTTCCCCCTTTCCCCTTATTTTCAGTTCCTTTCCCCCTCTCCCTCCTCTTCCTCTCCCCGTTTTTTTCCCCTTTTCTCCTTATTTTCTGTTCCTTCTCCCTCTCCTTCTTCCCCTGTTTTTTTTTCCTTTTCCCCCTTTCCCCTTATTTTCAGTTCCTTTCCCCCTCTCCCTCCTCTTCCTCTCCCCGTTTTTTTCCCCTTTTCTCCTTATTTTCTGTTCCTTCTCCCTCTCCTTCTTCCCCTGT